GACATTGATGTAATTGACGGTGAATAGAGGATTGATCAAATTAAGCAGGCAAATTTTGGGTTATAGTTGGGTGATATTGCCTAATCTGTTCATAATTATAAATTCTGTGGTACATTCTTTGTCAATTGTGTAGAACATTCTTAGTCAATTGCGTGGAACATTCTTTGTCAATTGTGTAGAACATTCTTAGCCAATTGCGTGGAACATTCTTTCCCAACTACGGTAGGTGGAACTTCAATTTATTGTATTTGAAGCGCTCTTTTAGAAACCAATTCAATTTTACCACTACAATATCACGTATAAAGTGCTGAATTACTAACACAAAGTGGAAATGAGTGATCCTTCAACCTCTAAGAAAACTTCATGCGTGAAGAAAGAGTCCAGTGCGAATAAAGATCAGGATGTCGTTGTAGAACGTCACTCATTGGCAAGGAATAAACCTGAAGAGACTATTTCGGATTTCATAAAGAAAATTACAGGTTATAAGAACGTCTCAGATACATTGAATAATATACTAGCATATATCGAATTTCTGTACAGAGAAGAATCTGCCCTAGAATTTGCAGAGAGTTTTCGCAAGCAAATACATTTATGTTGTCAGCAAAAAAATGAAAATAAGTTGAAAGATGAAATCGTTAACTTTCGAAACACAATACTTAAGAGCTTAAAACGAACACCTATAGATTTGGAAATATTGATCGTAAAGAGACGTAAAGACGGTGATTGGAATGTACAATATGCTGTTGTTGTTTCTAAAACAAGATCATTATCAAAATTCTTTAAAATAGGGTAAAAATTTGATTACCATGATCTGTCTCGTTATGTTGCCTAAAAATGCAATGCATGTAAGAAGTGTTCTTTATCTAACGCTTCCTCATATTGCAATCGCGACACATTAACCAACAATTACTTTTAACATGTGGTAGTTTATTATCAATTCTATCAACTGTAATGTTAGAATTAACTGTCTTATCCTTTTTAATCGTAGCTTCAAATAATGTATTACATAGAAGACATGACGTGCATTTTTCGAGTTGTAACTGAATCCAATCAACATCTATGTAATCTTTATTATTTTTTCTACCCGATGCCCTATCTTGTGATCTGTAGCCCTCTATCTTATTCTTAAAGTAAAGTTTTACCCAAGATGTGTTTAATGACATAACTTCTTTTTCTGAATGTTCATATATCTGAACATTTTTTAAATCTGTGCCTCGTGTTAATGCTGTCCAAATAAAGTAGCGATCCACATAGGGCGTATTGCAATCAAATATAGTAATTTTGTCCTTTATTGTGAGACCTTGTACTGAATCGCATGTATTAGCATACGGAAGTTTGAAATATTTCAATTTATCAACGTCCAGTCGAATATCTTTGCTCTCAACTGGCTCGTTCACGACAAAATACTTATCTCCAATCGATTTTAAAACATAATGATAGTTAACATAGAGTCGATCATTTTTATTCTTATAGTGCTTTTTACAAACAAGTTCTAAACCGCTATAAAATCCAGCTCTTTCGACTACATTCTTAGCGACGTGTTTATTAACCTGGTCACACCTAAAATTAAACAAACAAATATTTTTTATCGTTGTTACTTCTTTCATGGTCTTAACAACTTTGATTCCATGGCGTTTAAAAGTAGAAATAACGTCCTTATTAAGATCAAAAATATCCCTCTTAAGCACAATTAGCTTTCTCTTATCAGAGCTCTTATTCAAACGTTTATTTTCGCTTAACGTCAGTTGATGTGGGAACATTTGATTTAAGCACCACAACTGATAATTATTTTGATCTTTGATCTTGTTTGTACCGAAAGTAAATGGCTTTCTTTGATCAACATCACCAGTACATAAATATCTTTTTTCAGCATTCTTTTTCATGAACATTTTAATTAAATACAGTTGATAGGGATTATATAATAAAATCTCATCAAAAACGATACAATCATATGGCTCAATGTTAAAGTTTTTCATTTTTATGTGTTTATCATCGATTCCAATTCCAAGTAACATATTTAGAGTTACCGCATCGTGACTACTTTTTCGTAACTCCTGGCACAGTTTATTATAAGGACTTACAAAAAGAGTTTTTATATACGGATTCATTTTGGCCCAAGTTGTTTTACCAACACCAGGTAATGATCCTTTAATAAATGTGTTATATTTTTTAAACAAATTCTAATTACAAACGATTGTATTTAAGATTAACGCTTTATACTCCGATTAAAGCTCAACCATGGGATCCATGATAATCCCATTTTCTGGTAGAAATAACAATATAGCGATTAGAGTAAAGAATAGTACGATAACTACATGATGAATCTAGATTTTCAATTTATAGTTTTGTTATACTCAACTAAATCAATAGTTGGTAATTTCAGGTTATTATGTCCAAAACGAGTACCGGTAATTAATACTATACCATTTTGTAATTGAGTAAGTACAGCTTTTTTTAAAGCTTAAGTTTAAAGGGTACGATACGCTTACTGAATAGAAATTGGTGTCATTTATTATTTAATTAATTTATCAGGCAAAGGACTTTCTTAAGTAAAACTGATACTAGATTCTAGTATAATAC